GCGTGTCGGGGAGGGGGCACTATCGGTCCGGGCGTTGAACGTCGCATACGCGTCAGTCTCTCCCCCCCCCCCCAGCAACTGATCATTATTACAATAATAAGCTAGTCTTGACGTAGATCTTCGTAATGAATTGTGCGCTGGTCTATGGAATAAAAAGTTGCCGTATGCTCGACTCTACACAGCAACACAACTTTTTCTTGGTAAACAATCGAGATGACACAGGCTTGTGTATTTAGTATTTGAACGAATCGGTCTTTTTTTTTTTACACAGCTCATAATATGCAGGTGCCAGGTGGTCTGGTAGTCTTCAATTTTACCTTTTTCTACAACAAAGAAAGTGGGAAACATGGGGGGGCGGGCGTATGAGGCGGCGGGCATCGGATCGGCAGATATATACATATATGGTGTGGGGGGGAAACTAAAAAAAGGCGGAAAATTGGAAGCACTGAACATTAGATCTATAGAACGAAGACATTTCCTTTTTTCCGGAGGCCACCTCTATTCTCACCCGGAGTGAGAATAGTGCAGGCGAGTCTTGTGGCTATTCTCACCCGGTGCGCGTTCACCAAATTTTGCGTTCACCCTAAACCACAGAATTCTACACTGTGATAACAGAAAAATTGTAGAATTCTGTGCCGTGAACAAACGTTCCATTACAACTGTAGCCTACTAAAAGCGTACAATTTTGTCTGTGGGCAGTGGAGAGAGAGAGAGAAAGAGAGAGAGGAGTAGCGCGAGAATTTCCGGGCAAAACAAAATGGCGACCCGCGTAGTTCGGCTCGATTCGAAAAGTTGAATAGCCGTAGCATCTTTGTAGACAACCAAATTAATTTACTTTTGTGTTTTAACATCATTTTTTAACTTTGTTTTGGTCAATTTGATCGTCCACACCGATAGACAGTATTCAGAACGGAGCGTATTCAGAAAGAGACAGAGAGAGAGAGAACAAGGGAGGAGTTGATCTTGCGAGAACTTCCGGGCGGGTGAGAATAGCCCGAATAACATTTTTTCATATTCGGACTTTCCGAATATGAAATTTTTTTATTCGGACTCGTCCGAATATGAAAAAATATTATTCGGACTCGAGTCCGAATAATGACGGCCTTATGTAGCCTTACCGTTCATCTTACGTTTAGGTGGAGACTACTGCGTGTAATCAGATAGATACAGTCAATGTCAAGTCAAAATGGATGAAGAATGAATGAATAATGTCAATAATGATGAAGGAAGAGGCTAGCCGTACTTAATGACGGCTAGACTGGCAGTCTACCACATGCGATTAAAAGTAGAAATGATGCAAACTATTTTTAGGTAAGGCGCCCATCTTGTTTGACGTCAGACCAGGATACCCCTCCGATCACGTGACTACATCTAAGTATAGACAACCGCATGGCACCAAAGATGGAAGTGTCTATGTATATTATGCTTAATCTACACAAATTTCTCGGAATTTCTGATAGCTGATTTGATAGCGCGTCTGCGTTTGATGTCGAGCAATGGCTTTTGGAGAGGTTCGATTCCGGTCCCGGACAGTTTTTTTTTCTCATTTCCTCCTCCCGACTGACCAACAGTTCCATAAATTATAGGCCTAATTTGTAGAGTTGCTTTGACTTTGAAGTTGTTGTTTATTTTAAAAAATGTATTAGTGATTAAAAATGTAGGAGGGGGGGGGGTGGTAGATCTAAATTTAGATCTAGATCTAGATCTAAATTTAGATATCTAGATCTAGATCTAGATCTAGATCTAGATCTAATCTAGAATCTAGATCTAGATCTAGATCTAGATCTAGATTCTAGATCTAGATCTAGATTCTAAAACACATCGTTCCATGTTTGGGTATCCCAGGAAGTGCTGACATCACATTACTAAAATAAGCAGCCAATCAGAAAGATGCGTCTTTTCTAAGATTAACGGCATGTCAGTCTACCGTACTTATTCTTAACAGGTTAACATAATGGCTAAAAGTGAAGGGCAATATAGACTGATATCTATTGGTAGACAAGTGCAATATTAGAACTCACGCTAAAAAAGGACGATAGTGGAGCAAACTGAGAAGTGACATCTGTCTTCAAATTTTAAGTTTACAGCTTTGTTGTGTAGTTAGTTCATGTTACGATCTCAAAACAAGGTCGAGTTTCTCAGGGCGCAGACATCTTTCTCTTTGGTCGCGTTAGAGTAGTTTCCCTTGAAAGTAGCGAGATCTATTATTTTCTTTTCGTTGAATTAACTTTACCAATAATTTTGTAATTTGAATTGTTATGATGCAAAATCTAAATCACGAAATTCTAAAACTGACCGATGTTGTGTGAGCTTTCAGTAGACATCCTTCTTTGTGTGTTACGTAGGTTACGTGTAGGAAAACTGCAACAGGCTCACTCAATACACAGTGGTGAATGATGGAATTTGCAAGTTGGGAAATTTCCCATTTATAGGCGGAAACGATCTGAAGGCCTAAAAATCACATAAAAACAAATAATGAACACACAGTAATCAACTAGCTTTTCCTGTTGTGAAAGCGCTTGGGTGAGTGTTGTCGCTTAGATCCACTACCCCCCCCCCCCCCCCCCCCCCCCCCCCTCTTTGGGGGGGAAAAAAAATTTTTTTTTTGGGAAAACCCCCCCCCCCCTTCCCCCCCCCTCCCCTCCTCCCCCCCAAAGGGGGGGAACCCTTCCTCCCCTCCTATCGCGTTACGCTGCCCGGAAAGATGTAAGAAAACAATCTAAATAAACATCGCCTTTAGCCATGCATTTTGTATGTAAAGGGTCGGGGGTCTTCCGGAATCGATAAAGCGAGAGAGGAGATTTTCCGCTCATTGGGCTGATGTGCTTATTTTCCTT